AGGGCCTAGACACTCTCTAAGAGCTTTTCTGTTCAAGGTTAGCACTTTCCCACTAGAGCCACAGCTCCACCTCTGGCTTTTTGCTGGTTAGGTGGAGAAGAGTCCCATCGACTTTCCTACCTGGGTTGACTTGGAACTGTGATCCTCAGATCTCAGCTGCCTCAGTAGCTAAGATTACAAGCATAATCCACTGGTGTATACATTATATGTATATAAAACATACACATACATATATACGTATATACATATACATAAATGTACATATGTATATATAATACATTTTATTTCTTTTCAAATTTCATAATACTTATTTAATCTCTTTAACCATATTGGGCCATTACATAGTTTTCCATATTTTTTTTCTTTTTTATTCATTTATTTTTTATTATTATAAAGGTGATGTACAGAGTGGTTACAATTACATAAGTCAGGTAGTTTAAGTTACATAAGTCAGGTATTCCATATTTTTAAGTAAAGTGTTGTCTTTCGTATTCACACATATCATATATTTCTCCTCATATTGTGAAATCTTTTTTTCTTTTTTTGGTTGGTTGTGGGGCTTGAACACAGGGCCTGGGCACTGACCCTGAGCTTTTCAGTTCAAATCAAGTGCTCTACCACTTGAGCCACAGCACCACTTCTGGTTTTCTGCTGGTTATTTGGACATTAGAGTCTCACAGACTTTCTTGTTCAGGCTGGTTTTGAACCATGATCCTCAGATCTCAGCCTACTGAGTAGCTAGGATTATAGATGTGAGCCACCAGCACCTGGCTTATGAAATTTTTTAAACATTGAATGAATGTTAGAGTGGACACTTGGTAGACCTACCATCCGTCTATCATTTACATTCCATTTTTCTCTCTCTCCATCCTTGCATCACATTAGTTTATCCTATCTTTTTTATTCATTTCAAAGCAAATTTAGACATTAGTATGCTTCTCTGAAGTACTTAAGTATGTGTGTGGTTAATCCTAGGTCATATTTGTTTACAGTTTTGTTTCTTATAATGTTAATGAGAATGCATAAACTTGACAAATAAATATATTTGTATAAACCAAATCTACCATTCTAGAAAATGTTCTCACTTCTTTTCCCAATCCATTATTGGTTTTATGTTTTTTAAAAACTATGTTTTGCTTTGTTCTAGAACTTTTTATAAATGGAAGAATACAATATGTGCTGTTTTCAAAGACTTCCTTCATTCTCTGTAGTCTTACTTAAAAAACTTCTTTAGTACTTCCTATTGTATGCACTTACTTCTACAGGTAATAGTTGATAACTAAGATTATAGGTTTGGTGCTTTTTGCTTTCCACCTGTATCTTCCCACCTTTATTAGCCTACATATCATTTTTGTACATTAGCTTTGCTTTTATAGAGTTATACAATTCATAATATCTTTGTTACTCAAATTCCTGAAGATTTTAGTTACAAATGTAATGTAGGCATTAGCTTTTTAAAATTTCAGTGCTAATACCAATTTCTAAAACAAACACATTTCTTCACGGTTGCTAGACAAGTACTATGCCACTTCTGCCATACTCCTAGTCCTTTTTCTTTTTTCCTCCTGGCACTATGTAATGCCTCCTTCTCAGCCTTTTTTGTTGATTAATTGGAGGAGTTTTACAGCCCGGGCTGCTTTCTAATCATGATCCTGAACATCTCAGTCTCCTCAGTAGTTAGGATTATAGGTGAGAGCCATCAGCTTCTGACTGACTCTTTTCCTTGTTAACTTTTTTTGTGTGTTTTTAGTTATCTCTAGTTTTTTAGTTAGCATATATTAGTTTATACAAAACGTCATTTTGTTTTTGATACATAGTGTCACTAATTTTTCTGTGTTGGCCTTGAACTCATGATCCTCCTTTCTGTGTTTCCTGTATGGGATTATACCACCATACCTGTTACAGCCTTTAGCTTAAGTAGTTCATACTTGTGTCTTTGAGCTTATTGGTATAGTGGGGTAGACAGATTATAAGCTATAGAGTCAGACCCTGTTTCTCTCTCTTTTTTTTTTTTTTTTTTTGGATCAGGTCGTGGGGCCTGAACTCTGGGCCTGGGCGCTGCCCCTCAGCTCTTCAGCTCAAGGCTAGCGCTCTACCACTTGAGCCACAGCGCCACTTCCAGCTTTTTTCTTTTTGCTTATGTGGTGCTGAGGAATCGAACCCAGGGCCTCTGGCATGCAAGGCATGCGCTCTGAGCCACCTTCCCAGCCCCTTGCTGTAACTTTCTTAACTTTAATTTGAATCTTTTTTTTTTTGTGCCCATCCTGGGGCCTTGGCGCTGTCCATGAGCTTTGGTGATTAAGGCTACTACTCTACCACTTGAGTCATGGCACCACTTCTGTCTTTTTCTGAATAGTTTATTGGAGATAAGTGCCTTATGGACTTTCATGCCCAGGCTGGCTACAATCCTCAGATTTCAGATCTCAGCCTCCTGAGTAGCTAGGATTATAGGGTAGAGCTCCCAGCTCTCAGTTATACTCTATATTTATAAAAACGTATTATTTTCTTTGCTGATTTTGAATGAGTCTACTTTTTGTGTCATTTTTTCCTCCATTGGAAATGAGGTTTGTGTTTTATCATTATCTATAATGTGTGTGTGTGTGTGCACGCGCACGCGCGTGTGCACGTGCTCATGCATGCATGCATGTGTGCTGGTCTGGTGGCTTGAACTCAGGGTCTGGGCCCTCAAGTCTAGTGCATTACCACTTGAATGATAGCTCCACTTCTGGCTTTTTGGTGGTTAATTAAAGATAACTTTCAGGGCTGGCTTTAAATTCTTTTTTTTTTTGGGTCCGGTCATGGGGCCTGAACTCTAGGCCTGGGTGCTGTCCCTCAGCTCTTCAGCTCAAGGCTAACGTTCTACTACTTGAGCCACAGTGCCGCTTCCGGCTTTTTTCTTTTTGCTTATGTGGTGCTGAGGAATTGAACCCAGGGCCTCAGGCAGGCAAGGCAAGTGCTCTACCACTGAGCCACCTTCCCAGCCATATATATATTCTTTTTTGTTTCTAGTTTGCATTTTTTTTCCTGTACTTATAAACATTTTCAATTGGTCAACATTCCTGTGGTGTTTATCCATTTTGTGCTTACCTGACTTGTCAGGTCACATGTCATTTCAAGTTTTTTAGCTCTATCTTCCTGAGTTCCTATGTTCCTACCTTGTGGTTCTTTAGTTATAGAGCTAATAGCTTTTTTTTTTCTTTCATGCTAACATTTTATTTATTATTTTTCTTTTTATTATTATTAAGTAGTTGCACACAGGGAGTATAATTCCATAAATCATAATATGTAATTCCATAAGTTTATGAGTACAATGCTTCTTGGTCAATGTCACCCATTCCATTGCTCTCTATTTCCCCTCCTAAGTTACACAGTTAAGTTTTTATGTAATGCATAGTGTGTATGACTGCATTTGCTCACTTCCTTCCTCCACTTATGTGCCCTTTCCCTCAAAACATGTCCATTTTATTTAAACCAATGCAAGCATCATGCTTAACAAAAACTGTCCAAAATAAACGTGCAGTATGAACTAGCAGAGATTTGAACCCCAGCTTAAGAATTGGTGTCAGTTGTTGGTTTTCTTAAAGGGTGACTGAACAGTTAAAATTCACAAAACAAAACAATGTTTCAAGACTCCAGAATGAGATTATTTTGGACCATCTAAAACTGAGAATTGCCTTCAAACAACATTCAAGTAATTTTATGTGTATTAATTATATTCCAAAACCATGAGAATAGAGTTGTCATTACAAACTTCATGCAGTTGCTTAAATATTATAGGATTAGGATGTCAAATAGTGTAAAAGAAATTAATGCACTCTTGGTTTTCAATTTGTGTAGGAGAGATTTGTTCAGAAATGAACACTTCTTCATGTAAGTTGTAAGACCCCCCAACATTACAGTATAAATATTGTTATCAGCCTAAAGAACAAACAAGGGGTACAATTATTCCAAGAATAAGTAAAAAATAGAATGCAATTTATTCTCCAAGTATCAGCATTTAAACTGTTATGAAAATATCTATTCCTTAGTAATTCACATGCAGGTTGACATTGTTCAAATTTTTAACTAGCCCAAACATTTAAAAAATTTTATTTTATAAATAAGTTAATTGTACAAAGAGGTTACAATCCCATAAGTCAGGTTATGAGTACAATGATTCTTTTTTTTTTAATTTTTATTTTTTATTGTGAACATACTGTACAGAGGGGTTACATTACATGGTCAAGATAATGAGTACATTTCTTATCAAGCATTGCAGCCTCCTCCTTTGTTTACCCTTCACATCCCTTCCTAGTCTCCCCCCCCCCCCCAATCCTCCCCGCCCCCCCCTCCAGTACAATGATTCTTTTTTTTTTTCCTGGTCATGGGGCCTGAACTATGGGTCTGGGCGCTGTCCCTCAGCTCTTCAGCTCAAGGCTAGCACTCTACCACTTGAGCCACAGCGTCACTTTCGGCTTTTTTCTTTTTGTTTACATGGCGCTGAGGAATCAAACCCAGGGCCTCAGGCAGGCAAGGCAAGCGCTCTACCACTGAGCCATCTTCCCAGCCCCTACAATGATTCTTGACCAATGTTACCCTTCCATCATTCTCCCTCATTTTTCCTGTCTTATCCCTACCCCTTCCAGTTATGTTAAAAACTGAACTATGACTAAACATTTTAAAGTACACCTTCTTTAAAACACACAAGAAAATAGCCAAATTTAATTTAGCAATAAATTTTCCTAACTGGGAACTTTATATATATGTATATACATATATATTTTTTACATAGGCATATGTTTTTCTTTCTTTTTTTTTTTTGCAGTTTTTCATTGTAAAGGTGATATACAAAGGGGTTACATTTACATAAATAACGAAATGAGTACAATTCTTGTCAAACATTGTTACCGCCTCCCTCAGTTTCTCCCGTTTTCCCTTCCCACTGACTCTACTTCCCACCAAGTTGTAAATTTAATAACAGTGTCACATCAGGAAAGCATTCATAGCTACATCTGACTCTTGAAAATAGGAGGTAGAAAGAGAGGGAAAGTGCTAACAGACATTTGCCACACAGATCATTTACTAATGGCAATTTAACAAAATTAATAAGAGTTAAACAAGAATATGTTGAACTGCACAAAGCATTTGGTAAACTTCTAGTTAGTAAACAATTCAGACATTCATTTTAGAAGTCAGTTATCATTCAGTCATTTTTCCCCTAATATATTTGCTTCAATACCAGAACAAAGTAATTACTATTTACAACTCAGGTATTTTGGAATTCAGCATACTAACCTGAAAATAGTTCTCTTCATACGTAATTTATGTGGCCACAGAACCAATACTAAGTACGCATTGTATCCAGGCGGTGGTGACTCATGCCTGTAAATCCTAGCTACTCAGGAGGCTGAGATCTGAGGATCGAGGTTCAAAGCCAGCCCGGGCAGAAAGTCAGTAACACTCTTATCTCCTATAAAACCACTAGAAAACTGGAAGTGGCTCTGTGGCTCAAGTTGTAGAGCACTAGCCTTGAGCTGAAGAGCTGAGGGACAGCGCCCAAGCCTAGAGTTCAAGCCCCATGACCATCAAAAAAAAGAAAAAATAAAATAAAAAATATGTATTGTGATTACTGCTTGGTTCTGTTTTCACATTAGATGCCTGCAGAACCTATGTAAGGCCAGCAAGTTCAAAACTAATGCTGACATAAATAAAAAAGCAGGAGGATCTTTGGAAAAAGTTGCTACATAAAAGGAAAAATTAAGATTTAAGGCCAAATAGTAATAGTTGCACCAGAAAGATACGGAATTTTGTGTGTAACCTGTAATTACTATTTGTAGGGAGGCAATAAAAGGGACACAACAGGAAACACACTTTAAAAAACAGTGTAACAGTGGGCTGGGAAGGTGGCTCAGTGGTAGAGCGCTTGCCTTGCATGCCTGAGGCCCTAGGTTTGATTCCTCAGCATCACATAAGCAAAAAGAAAAAAAGCCGAAAGTGGTACTGTGGCTCAAGTGATAGAGTGCTTGAGCTGAAGAGCTGAGGGACAGCGCCCAGGCCCAGAGTTCAGGCCCCATGACTGGACACAAAAAAAAGTAAATAAATAAATAAATAAACAAAAAAAAAAAACCCAACAGTTTAACATTTAGTCAAAAAGAAGTTTGTATAAATATTTGAGGCACACTTTTGAATACAAGATTTGTAAATCCTCTGTGGGACCACAGAATAAATGAAATGTGAAATGTTTTACTCACTTCCTAATCCAGTTATCTTGCAAAACACACCTTATTGGTAGAGTGTTTCAAGCTAGAAAAAAGTTTATCAGAGCTCTTAAACTAGAGCTGCTATTAGAGAATAAGGAAACTAAGAGTTCTCAATAACAAATCAATATTATCTGACCTTACAGAGGACCGCCAAATCAAAACAACAGTAAATTAAAATAAGGAATAATAAAATAAGAAATAAGAAAATAAGAAAAATAAGGAATCTGTATGTACATTCTTGGCAGCCATGATTTCTCTTTTTGTTCAAATAAAGTAAAACAAAAATCTCATTTTCTAGAAGTGGCGCTGTAGCTCAAGTGGTAGAGCACTTGCCTTGAGCTGAAGAGCTGAAGAACAGCGCCCAGGCCCAGAGTTCAAGCCCCATGACCGACCAAAAAAAAAGAAAAGAAAAGAAAAATCTCATTTTCTTCCTTTAAAAATATTAAACTCACTATTTGCTTTGACTACATTTGTGTTTCTTTTAAAATTTGTTACTATAAAGATGATATACAGAGGGATTACAATTATATAAGTCAGGTAAAGAGTACATTCTCTTTGGGTGTCAACCCTTTCCTCGCTCTCTCCCACTTTTTCCCTCTCATCCCACCCACAAGTTGTTCATTTTCAGCATCATGTTCAATGAGTACCATTGCTGCATTTGTTCATCCTTTGTCATTTGTGTTTCTTCAGAATTTTGAGCAAATTATTCTCCTGTATCAAAGTACTCGTTTAAGAAATTCTTAAGCTCGGTGAACCTTTTTTCTCTCTCTCTGGAAATTGGAATAAAATAATTTTTTCATTTATTAACCCCAACAAATACCTACTCTAGCAACAGCTCATCTCCAATTTGGGATTGGTTCCGGACTTCTAAATTAGTGAAGCCAAACAGTATTAGAAACAGAAGATGTTCTGTTTAATATTCTGAAATTTCCAACTCCCTTTACTTCTTCATTAAAGTGAGCACAGAACCTTCAAAAATACAATGCATGCTGGAAACTGGTGGTTCATTTCTATAATCTTAGTTATTAAGGAGGCTGAAATCTAAGGATTATGGTTTGAAGCCAGGTTGGGTAAGAATGTGTACAGACTCTTATCTCCAATTAACCGCTCAGAAACAGAGTGGAGCTGAGGCTCCAAGTGGTAGAACACTAGCCTTGAGCAAAAAAGCTCAGGGCTAGGACCTAGGCCCTGACTAAATAAATAAATTAATTAATTAAAAATGCATGCAATTGATGAATGAAAAATATGTCAAAGTCAAAAGGATGTTTTTGAAATCACTGTAAGAATTAACTCAAAAGGTTTTGTTTGCCTTTCTAAAGTCTCTAGATCTTCTAGCAAATTAACAGTCAAGTTCCTTATATTTGTTTTAAAAGAATAACAATATTATTAGCAAAAATATTAGATTTCTTAATTTGTGCCAATGGTGTCATTATCTAATATGACTTGACTTGTTAGTCTAGTATTAGGGTGTCCAGTTTAGAATATATTTTGAAATGATAGAAGATGTGTTTTCTATTGATGTGTTATTAGCTAAGGCCAAAGTTTTAGATAAGTAATTCTTACATATGACACAATCCTAATCACCAAGATACCTAAACTTTCACTTGTCATATATTTACAAGGCAACTAGATAATTGAAAATTTAAAAATGAGAAATCAGTTGTATTATAAACTTTAAATACATGTATTAGAATTTTTTTGCATGGCTACTTCAAAATAGTAGTAATTTCACCAAATCTATGATATTGGCAATGTAAAAATTTGAAACTAACTTAAAAGCTAGCAAATCAGAGGAATAATATTAACATATATTTTAAAATTTTTATTTATTTTTTATTGTGAAAATACTGTACAGAGGGGTTACAATTACATGGGCAAGATAATGAGTACATTTCTTATCAAGCATTGTAGCCTCCTCCTTTGTTTCCCCTTCCCATCCCTTCCCATCTTCCCCCCGCCCCCCCCCCCCCCCACCAAAGTTGTAAAGTTCATTTTTGACATAAGAACTTGTACTTCTCATTGTTGCAACGGGTCCACCTATATCCTTATTTAAACGACTAACACATTTTAAAATAGTGTTTACAAAATGTTAGAAGGAGCTTTATAAGCTCGTCACCTAAATTCAAAGCTATATAAAAATAACAATCAGGAATGAAACCTTTTTTTTTTTTTTGGGTCCGGTTGTGGGGCCTGAACTCTGGGCCTGGGCACTGTCCCTCAGCTCTTCAGCTCAAGGCTAGCGCTCTACCACTTGAGCCACAGTGCCACTTCCGGCTTTTTTCTTTTTGCTTATGTGGTGCTGAGGACTCAAACCCAGGGCCTCATGCATGCACGGCAAGTGCTCTACCACTGAGCCACCCTCCCAGCCCCAGGAATGAAACCTTTAATATTAAAACCTTCCTAGTTCTTTTCTTTAATTTTTTTCTTCTGTCAGTCGTGGGTCTTGAAGTCTGGGCCTGGGTACTGTCCCTCAGCTCTTCAGCTCTTCAACTCTTCAGCTCAAGGTTGGCACTCTATTACTTGAGCCATAACACCACTTACAGTTTTCTGGTGGTTTGTTGGAGATGAGAGTCTCACGGACTTTCCTGCCAGCTTTGAACTGTGATTCTCAGATTTCAGTCTCCTTAGTAGCTAGGATTACAGGCATGAGCCACTGGCACCTGGCCTCTTTAATATTTTTATTATCTTTAAGTAGTGGTACAAAAGGGTTTCAAGACAACAAATCAGTTTATAAGTACAGTGTGTGTATGTGTGTTTGTGCCCATAGTGGGGCTTGAACTCAGGGATAGCACTGTCCCTTAGCTTTTTCACTCAAAATTGGTGCTCTACTACTTGAGCCACCCTTCTACTTCTGGCTTTTTGATGTTTATTGGAAATAAGAGTCTCACTGACTCCCAGGCTGGCTTCAAACCTTGATTCTCAGATCTTAGTTTCCTGATGAGTTAGGATTACAAGTGTGAGCCATAGGTATCCAGCAGTACAATGCATCTTGATCATTGTCCCCCCTTGTTCTTTTTCCCAAATGACTTTCCCTTTTCTAAGATTAAGGTGTTATTTTCCATAAGAACATATAATGGTTATAACTCTTCCTTAAAACCCAACTTCCAGACCTTAAGCATGAGTGATAAAGGTTTCTAGACTCTATTAAAATGATAAAAACCAATAAATAAATAAATAAAACCAAGAGATGATGAAAAATGTACTTGGAATGCAGGTCCATGACTTAAAATTGTATGTCTCATATCTTTTACTCTAAATAACCTGCCATAATATGTGCTGTTTTCACTTATAAACTGCTAATATATCAATAGTTGTCAAAAGGAGGCAACAGTTGTCTATCATAATCAAATCCCTGCTTTTCAATGGTGTTTGTAAATAGTAACAAATTCTGAATGATAAGTTACAGAAGTTAGTCACAAGATTGCAAAAAGTTTCTGAGGATAAGTTCTATACCTAATAATTACAACTGTAAAGAACTATTCTGCAAAATTTTATTATTATGAGGATGATTTCCTCTTCATTCAGACTTCACAAATGAGGAATTTTTCTTTACTGCAGGAAACAAGTCGTTAAGTAACAGTTCACTGTTAGTCATAAATAAATATTTGTGTCTGGTTCCAATCTGGTTAGGATAACAAATAAATACATTAGAAACACCAACATTCCCATTAGTGGAAAAGTCCAGGTTTCTCATATAACCATTCTTTAGTTAGATTGTTAATGTTTCTTACTTAAGATATCTTGGTTAGTTCAACTGTTTGGACTAAGTTATTTTTATTTTTATTTATTTATTTTTGGGTCCGGCCGTAGGGCCTGAACTCTGGGCATGGGCGCTGTCCCTTAGCTCTTCAGCTCAAGGCTAGCGCTCTGCCACTTGAGCCACAGCGCCACTTCCCGCTTTTTTCTTTTTGCTTATGTGGTGCTGAGGAATCGAACTCAGGGCCTTGAGTATGCAAGGCAAACGCTCTACCACTGAGCCACCTTCCCAGCCCTGGACTAAGTTATTTTTAGTCCCAGCATTTATTACCTGTTGCTCAGGCTTATCATCTACAAGATCAGAGGATATAAAGCACAGAGGATTTGGAGCTGGTCCATTATCACATTGATATTTACAACTATACACAATAAACTGAGGTTGCTGTTGAAATAATTTATCCTTAAGTTCATTAAGTGAAATGCTTTGAATTTTCTCACATAGTAAACCAAGCTTTTATTCTCATCAACCTTCATTAATATGAAAATACTGTGTGTGTAAACTGTGATTTTAATGTGACTGATCTACCCAACCCACAAACTCACAGCCTTTTGGGGATGGGCATTTGTATGATAGTATTGTTTGCTTCTTTGTATAAACTAAACTTTCTCAACTTTTCCACAAAATCATCAGGAATATCACAAATCACCAAAAAGGCACACATTTTCTTCAGGTTGTTAACTGATTGCTTTTTAAGTTTATGACAAAATATTTGACTATGATTTTTATCTGCTTTATCGTAACTTTTTCTATTTGATTTCCCTTTTTATTTGTAGCATTTTATTTAATTTATTTACATTTTTGGTGGTACTATGGTTTGGTATTAGAGGCTCATGCTTATTTACCTTGCTTTCTCTTCTACTGCTCTACCCCTTAAGCCACTTCCCCAACCCTGTTTTTGGTTGGTTATTTTACAGAGTCTCATGGACTTTCTGGTTGGTCTGGCTTCAAACCATGAATATCTGGGCTTCAGCCTTCCTGAGTTCTTGGGATTATAGGTTTGAGCCACTGGCAGTTGGCTTTGTTATTAAATTTTTTATCATTCAATGAGAAGCATTCTTTTGTAAAAATCAATTTTGGGGAGTGCTACAGCAATGGTTAAGGTTAATACCTAATCTTTTTTTTTTTTTTTTTGGGTCCGGTCGTGGGGACTAAACTCTGGGCCTGGGCGCTGTCCCTCAGCTCTTCAGCTCAAGGCTAGCACTCTACCACTTGAGCCACAGCACCACTTCCGGCTTTTTTCTTTTTGCTTATGTGGTGCTGAGGAATCGAACCCAGGGCCTCACACATGCAAGGCAAGCGCTCTACCACTGAGCCAACTT